AGTAAGGCACTTGTTACTACTAGCGTGGCACTTGTTACTACTAGTAAACAGAAGCTACTAGTAGCTTCTTGTTAAAGCCTTTCAGAAAAGCAGGGTTTGCTTCAGTGTACCAAACGTGGTCTACTTAGATGGTCCACGTGGCATGAAAAAGGGCTCTGGCAATATGTTTTGCCTTATGTCCTGTGGCTGCGGGAAAGGACGGAAATGCCAGCCTGCCAGCCCTAATAAGAAACATGTGCACAGGCGCCCAGTCGTGTCAAAGATCAAGTTCAACTCCCTAGTTGTCTTTGCGTTTCTTAGTTTTTGGGCCCTCTGTCAGCATGTTAATTCTTGGTCCTCCCCCCGCATGTTCACTTAAGGCCGTGCTCGGCGTATTCAACCAGCACGGAATCACTGATTTTTCTGCAACCGTCGACCCGCTTCAGCTTCCCAAAGAGACTTGACTTATTCTTCAAAATTACGCCAGCATAGATTCCAGATACAAGTTTGGTGTGGGCAGCACAGCGGCAGCACCCTGCAGCGGCAACAACACTCAAGGCCCAAGCTCCAAAGTGCACACAGGCACTTTTTTTCTATAAGCTAGTAGCAAATAGCTACTAGTAGTAAGGTGCTACTAGCAACAAGGCCATTACTGCTACTAGCAAGAGCGCTACTAGAAGCTGTACAGACCCATACTTGAAGTGCAAACCCCAATGGCTCTCCCTATCTGGAGAACTACAGAAAGGCCATCTTGAGAAGACGGTTCCATCACCAGATTCTGCAGGACAACTTGTTTATGCCAAGTACAAGGATGGATGGTTCTTGGCCAATGTCACCTGTGCCGCGGCATGGAAATGTGACAGGTCGAGCGCGTCGCTCCGCCGTATCACTCAGAAAGGAATATTGAAATGCTGGTGATGCGGGGCATACCGATATGTACTGCATGTCGTCTACTTAGACTGTAGCAACTGATCATTAATGATTTGTTGTACCCCGTCTAGAAGATAGTATTGTCGGAACCTTTGGACGGGATGGGCATTGGCTCGAGTCTCTTCGGGCACGGGTGCCGGGAAAGAAAATGACTCAAGCTCCATGAGCAAATCACTCAGTGGTTTCTCGTGGCACTGATGACACAGGTCAGGAGACCCGAACATTGGCTAGAATTGGAGTTCCTGCTTGTAACGCGCACTCAAAACATGAGATACATATAGATACATCGAAATCGTACTGGAGGCCATCGCCATTAGTTTGGAGGCCATCGCTATTAGGTTCCATGCTTGACCATCGGTGTTCAATGGGCCCGCAATGATCCCATGCATTTCTCCCGTGTGTGGACATTGAATAGACTGGAGAAGCTGCCGAAATGTTTGTTTGAAGCCCTACATGCTCATGCTGAGTGTTTTCTTTTAAACCCCTTTTGGATCCTTCCTTTTCGGCGTTGATTGGTTAAGGTGCGGAGCCTTGGCTTTGTAGACGTGTCTTTTTTGCACGTTTTTTGTTTGCCTTTTCCGCCTGGGCGAAGCACCGCGGGCCGGGCCAAAGACCCTCCGGTACGGGTACATGCCATCCACTCCCCCCTCGGCACAGAAGAAACGATGGAACCTTTGCTGGGTGTGACAGCCTTCAGATCTCAGGCAGCGGCAGTGGTTTGGCCGATGTTGCATGGCTCAGACCGTCAGGAGATGTTTGGGGCGACAAGGCCTGAAAAGTGAATCGCTAGACTACATAACACAGCAGAAAACTGGATGTGCCATCGCTAGTAGGTTGGAGGCCATTGCCTTTGGTGTCTGAAGGCCAAAATGTCGCGCTACCTTTGCTCAACCAACGCAGATGAGACCTTGCACGGAGACCGCCTACCAATTGCAACCCATATCAGGCCATTCCTGACTTGCCATTCTTGGATTTGTTGTCCAATTCCTGACTGGATCGGTCATAGCACAACTTTGGAACTGTTTTTGTGAGGCTTCCTTCGCAAGCACATGGTCAAAGTTTGCCATCCCAAGCTCCGAACCCCGGGGAAATCGACTTATTGGGCTAAGAAAGCTCAGTTGGTGCCGAGGTCCAAGGCCAAAGATGCCTGGAGCATCACCGGGGGTCTATAGATTGATAATGCCACACGCACGGCCGCACGGGCGGCCTCGGCGTCGCACGTTGGCCGAAAATGATCGTTGATCAAAGTCAGGCTACAAAACGAATCCTTTGTTGACACCATTTCTGCAGACTTGCTGAGAAAGTCATGCTTCCTGAGAGGATGTCAAGATTCGTGACCTGAAATCCACGGCCGCCCAGAAGATTTTTCAGGAGAGGTCATTGTCACAGTCACGAGGTCACTATGTTTGTAAATTCGTCCTGACTTATGATGCCTTGAGATGATTTTGAATCAGGAATCTAGTTTGTTTTTGGCGTGCTTCGACACCAGTTGTAGTAGGACAAGCTCGCGGCCCCTCTGATAGAAGGCATTGGAGAACACTTCAAGCTTCCTGGTCAACGTGGTGCATTGTGAAACTGAAGAAGGAAGGTGCACAGGAAAAGGCCATGTGCTTTTTGATAGATAATGGCTGCGTGGCTGTGTGCGCGTGCACTCTTTGTTGAACACTGATTCACCAAGGCTACCGAAAGAGCAGGTGTCAGTTGATGATGCATTCATTGTTCGGTACGCAACCGATTCTCAAAGAGGTTTGGGCTTTCACAGAGATGGAACCTTGCATAGAAATGGTCACTGCAAGCATCTTCTTTTTTGCACGCCCTTAGCCTTAATTAAGTAGGCGCCTACTTAATTGAGTGAGGGCAGGGTAGTTTGAAGAAGCGTGAGCTTTCCTGCTTTGTGTTGGGAAAACCTCAGCATAGAAAGGGTCGATTGGCCGAGGATCGATTGTTAGCGCAATTGTCACCCTCTCAAATGAGAATCTCGGATGTGATATTGGATCGTCATGACACTCATTTTTCATTCATCCTTCACTGGCAAATGAATGGAACCTGGAAGCTAGTAGCGTTCTTGCTCCTAGAAAGGCCAGGAGCCCCGATCATAGCGTCCGATCGCTCCTAGTGCTGAGGGGGGACTATGTTGGAGGTGGCACCGAATTTCGGGATGGGAGCCTTCACCGTCCGGCACAAGGCACTCGCCTCGTGCCGCCGCGGCATCGCCCAGTCGTGCGCGTGGAAAGGAATAACAGGCGAAACCAGATGTTACAAGAAAAGGAAGACACCACAACAAGATGGAAGATCCAAAGAATCAACTTTCAGCGCTGAAAGGCAGAAAAGAAGGAGCTCGAGCTCTTAAAGAGCTTCAACACAAAGAGCTTCAACATGGCACATTTCTGTGACGAGTGGTCCACTGTCCAGGTGGTGGGATCCTTTTCGGGGGCCAACGGCTCCATAAGGGTGTGGACATCGAACGCGGTGCTCGCCACTTGATCTCTTCCGCGGAGAGCGGAGAGCGGAGGAACAAAACATCGGGAAGACAAAATCATTCAGAATGACAACAGGAAGAAACCAGAAAAAAGAGGAAGAAGATATACCAAGAGGGATGGGAGCACAGCGTTCTTGGCTTTTGGACGGTCTGGTTGTTGGGAAGCGTTTTAACCCGGGTTTCCAGAGGTTACATTTGCACCATCTTCTTCAAGCGGATGTCTCAGATGCATGAAGTGTCATCGAAAAGCCTTTCCTTTGAGCAGAGTCCGCAAAGCATCAAACAGCCCTGCGGAATCTGAAAGCTAAGATGTGGTGGTCTCAGCTGCAGAGACACCTGGCTGCAAAAAGTATGCGTGAGTTTGAGAGATACCAATTGACAGGGTGAATGAGAGAATCAATGCCAGGACTTGGCCGTTCTCAAGGACAAAGAAGAGGCAGCTAAGACAACTCAGTTCACAGCGCTCTCCCACGGAAACCGTCCCAGAACCTTTTCCTAGTTCTTTGCATTTGTGTAACTATCTGCTCATGCTTACTCCCTTTCAACCGGTTTCGCACGCCGGCCGCTGCTTCCTTCGATGTCGATGTGATGGGACTGATGTTGATCATGCTGTGCCTTTGCGCAGGAGGGTGACCCCGGCATTTGGGGTGCGATTGCAAATGTCATGGGCATCAACAAATGAGCTGGATCAGGTGTCAAAGGGTATAGCAGTTCAACAAAGGGGAATTTCAGAAAAACGTACGGTAGTCTTGATTGATTTAAGGAAGTGAATCCAACGGAATATCCACTCAAGAAAGAAACTACTTCGTTCAAAAGCTAGGGTTGAGTGTCTTTAATATCAGTGATGATCCATGGCCCTTTAACAGCATGGAACAGAATGCAAATTGAAAACATTGTGTAAAACGCGTGTGAACTGCGATACGGCAACTGTCCTTGCGATGGGCATTTGTGCATCATTTTTCCGCATGCTGCCACTCGTGCTGGCATCAAGACCAGAGTAGTGAAGCCTGAGCTACCGCGGAAAAGGAAAGCAATCTCAGGCAGTTGGCCTTCAGAGGCGCGTGCGGCGGCGTCCGGTACCTTGAAAAAGGGGAAGTTCGGCTGTTAGGACTTGGCTACTCTCGTAGCCACAATGCTTTCCTTGAAATAGAAAGCACGACGGCGCAAAGCACTTCAGTAGTTGTTTGGACCAAGAAACCCATGGGCTCGGAGAAGCGAGCTTCAGGGTCCATGGCGAAGGACTTGAAGTTTCTTCGATTTCCCAAAGCACCAAGCTCCAAAACACAGGATCAAGAAACCTCGAGCCAAAGCAGAGGAATCCGGGCAGGCACTGCAGATGAGTTTTTCACGGCAAGCAGTGCAAGTGGGATGACGCAAAAGCAAAGTGAAGGATTGGCCACATTAGACCGCCCGCAAGCGTCTCAAGTGAAACCAGGCGTTCTTCGCATACCGAAGCCTTCCAAAAGCAAGACGCCTCCGAAAGAGCGTGACGTTGACAAAGCACCTGGACGCCAAGCTGTTCAGACCTTCTTGGGAGACAAAGCGTTCGGGCAAGAAGTCGTGGCTCAGGTAGACGTTTCATCACCTCGACCTTCAAGTCGCGATTTCTTTTCTGCAGAGTCCCGACCTGTGGCACCATTCGCATCGACGGCGACATCAGAGAAAACCGTGTCCCAAGAGTTTTTTCACGGCAAGAAGCCATGTGAGCGTGACACAGAGCCAAAGCCTTGAGGAAACGGCAACGCTATCACACCCAAGACCCTCTGAAGCCAAACCAGGGCTGCAGCCTGCAGGCCTTCGGATACCAAAAGCCTCCAAAAACCGAACTCCGCCAAAGGGGCGTGTGAAGACTAGAACATGGCAAACCTCCCAAGAGGCCCAGCAAGGCCTGGAGGCAATGGAGGCTCCACACCTCCAACCTAAGACCGATGGCCTCCAACCGTGGCAAACCTCCCAAGAGGCCGAGCAAGGCCCGGAGGCAATGGAGGCTCCACACCTCCAACTTAAGA